GGGGGGGTCTCCGCACATGTCAGTGGTTTTAGTTTGAAGTGTGACCGGATATACAGATTGTGTTTCGGTGTGCCGCCCTGACACTGTTGTTGAGGCGTGTACACACAGAAAGTTTGACAGAAGACAGGTGAGTGGGGAAAACACTCGGTCAGTGTACTCGCAGGTGTGTTGTGTGTGTTGGCTCGTGTTTCCTGTGCGCTCTGTCAGCGCGCACTCGCTGCGCGTGGGTTTCACGTGTGTCTCGTCCTTGCGGGTTGTGACCTCACAGGAGGAGGATGAGCCCGCGGGCGCAGAGTGCCAGGGAGGAAAGGGAGAGTTAATGTCTGCGGGGGTTTAACGGGAACTTTCACGTCTCTTCTTTCTTGTTAAGCACCAGCTGCAGGCTGACATCACAGCGCTGACAGTGGGACTTCATCGGCTTCGCCTGCACACTGCACGGTGTCGTGTTGTCACACTGTCGTGGTCAAAGTCTGGTAAAAGGACTGATACCATTGACTGGACCGTTTTCCAGAGTTGTGTGTTTGTGACTGAAGCAGTGTTAAAGTGCATGAGGGTGGGGGGAGGTCTGGTTACAAACACCGAGTGTGTGTGACCTCGTTTGCTGCAATCGTGTGTGGGGGTGGGGGGTGGTCTTTCCCCCACAAACCTTTGCCTCTGTGACCCGAGAGTCAGCTGAGTGCACGTCCCCCTCCTCGGTGTGGTTTGGGTAAAGTCCGTGTGTGTGTGTTGTTTTGCATGTGTCGGACCCCTGGGAGTAAAACAAGACATCAGTGTTCCTATTCAGAATCAGAATCGAGGATTAGTAAAGTAGGTGTATCCATACATGGAATTTTCTGTGGTGTGTCTGTGCAATTATCAATATAGAAAATAGGAAGCAAAAATGAAATAGAAAAATGAAATAATAAGTACTATAGGCAAAAAATAAAATAAATACTATAAGCAGGAGGGATTGTGCAGAATGTACATTGATTGTTATTTCTAAAGTGTCAGACTTCTTGTCATAAGCAATTATTAATATATAGTGGCTACAGTAGCTTTTCACCTGTTGTCTTCTTGATGATTACAAAAACAAAACCTCAAATGAAATTTTACAGTTCTTAGTTTGAAATATTAAAGGTTCAGTGTTTAGAATTTAGTGACATCTGTGGTGAAGTTTCATGTTGCAGCTGAATACCTCTCTCCTCACCCTCTCCTTCCAAACATGACAGAGAACCTGTGGTAGCTTCAGTTGTCATAAAAACTCAAAAGGTGTTTAGTTTGTCCAGTCTGGACTAATGTAAAAAAAAGCATGGTGGCCTCCAGAGAGAGGACCCGCTCCCAATATGAATATAAAGTATTTAAAATATAAAGGGCCCAATCCAAGGTAAAGAAAATTACAATTTGTATGATGTAGATGAAACAAATGAGTGAAAACATCACTAGGATTATTTTTTATTCAGTTTCTGCCAATAGATCCTTTTCACGTGAATAGTACACAGTGGAACTTTAAAGTGTTGATCACATTGTAATTTCACTCTTAAAGACTGCCTTTTAAAATGTTGTATTATTGTCTTTAAACAGGGATGGAGGACGACAGTGAAGAGGAGAGCTGCCTCATACACCCAGTATGTCTTTTCTCAACACCTTCATTGCACTTCATCTACCTACTAATTCCTCAAACGTCTGTCTTCCTGTATGTGGAGGCACTCATCTTATCTTCATTCTTTGCATGTGTATTCTTATCGCCCCAAGGAAGTGTAGTGTCAAATTTGGTGTGATTTGGACATATGAAACGTTCATTATAAATAAACTGAATGACAGGGTGACCATTACTCTGTAGCAGTCAATGGGGGGCAGCGTGCCCTCAGTCTGGGAACCAAGCGGACCATGCTTTCTTCTACAGCAGTGCTCGGCAACAGGATCAACCTGAGGGTCATAATCACCGCCAGATTATATCAATCATTCGTTTCTTTTTTTAATGCACTATATTGGACTGACACAAACATTCATGTGTGTCTCAGGTACTGATCTCTATAGCAGCAACATTCATACAATCACTGTCATACTTAATATTGAGCAGAATCACAGGGGTTTTATTTTGAAAGCTTGTGAACTTTGGGGAGGCAGTAGCTCAGTCTATAGCGACTTGGCTTGGGAACCGGAGGGTGGCCGGTTTGAGTCCAGCATGGACGGAAGTTGGAGAGGTGCCAGTTCACCCCCTGGGCACTCACGAGGTACCCTTGAGCAAGGCACCAAACCCCCGGCGCCTTCATGGCTGCCCACTGTTCCATGTGTGGTCACTCCGTTCACATGGATGGGTTAAATGCAGAGGTCAAATTTCCCCATGTTTGCATGTGTGGGACCATAAAGAGGAATCTTAATCTTAATTTGGGTCTGAAGATCGTGGGTCTGAAGATCGTGTCAGACCTCTGAAAATGCCAACATGCAATTTATGAAAAACAACAGCAGTTCAGTTAATCATTCAAGATCATACATGAGCCAGTCATTGCAGATAAACCAGGTGAGATAAACTCAAAGTTTTTTAACTTCACTCTGCAGTAGCTCCTGACCATTAACACAGGACAAGCCAACAGACAGGTTTAGAACTGCTTTAGTTGTTTAAGCTCCACGTCCTTGGAAAATGACTTAGGCACAAGGTTATGAAAACACTTGAGTTTTTATAGCTCTGTGGATAACAAGGCAACGCTTTACAAATATTCCACAACGCGTTATGATTTTCAGCAGATTATTATTATCAGTGCCTTTATTTTAGAGACATTTTAAAGAAAGTGTATGGATTAAGTTTTTGTCATCATATTTTTAAAACTGAACATAGTCCTTGTTCTGCTCTGTTTGCTCACACACTCTTGGATCACAGCCGAACCTTGAGTGCAGTCGATGTCATTCCCCCTGTGTTGTTCCTTATTGTTTCAGAGCCTGGTTCCTCTCGGCAGTGAGCTCAAGGCCAGGATGCAGCAGCTTGTGGAAGAAAGGATGGAAATCAATATGGTGACAGTCAATCTCTGACTCCAGTCATTTGACAGAGGCTTACAAACGGCAGTTTTTTTGTATTTAGGAATGCAATGAACATATTACTGTCAGTGTTCATTTTCTTGTCTTTTAGCACAATATCTATCTATATTTTTTGGGTTAAGCGCTAAAGTCCCTGCAGTTATTGCAGACAAAGCATGAACAGGCAGAGGCTTTTTCAATGACCTGTTGAACTGTTCATTGACTCTTCAATGAACAGTTCTGTATAAATGTTTTGATATTGTTGCCTCTTTTTCTTCCAGTGGACGGCAGTGCTGATTGGATCTGTGACAGTGATATCAGTCGTTGGAGTGGTTGTGTTCCTTCTTTACAGAAGATACAAAATATCAAGTCAGTTCCCATCATGCAGTACTCCATGTTCTATTCTAATTTATATCTTTGTATTTTCAGTGTGTAAATAATCACTGTTCATACATTAATGAGCTGTTGACTCATATAAAATGATTTGACAATTTGTTAGTGTTTCAGAGACAACATTCACTGTTCATCTGAGCATGCAGTTTATGAGTTAGGTCTAAACAGTTATAAGTCAGGTAGTTGATTATATATTTTAAAGTTATGCACATGCAAATGTAAAAGTAATCATATAGTTTAGTCCTTCTGAGGGGCAGTGGACAGCTCAAACATTAATGCCACCACCTCATGCAACATACCAGATAACAGCTGCAAACAAATTTGCAAGAAATTTGCACTTGGTTGTAAGTGCATGGACTTTCTTATTTTCAGGAATTAAAAATCTTGGGAACCTGAAAGGTGACTTTATTCAAACAAGATTTACAGTGTGAGCATGAGAGGCATCGACTGGTTGATAGATTACCTAGATTGCAGTTGGTTTTACATAGGCTGTGTGGTGTCTTTCAGAGGCGGAGGCTGGTGTTCCTCATTATCGCTTCAGGAAGAGAGACAAGGTGATGTTCTACGGCAGAAAGATCATGAGAAAGGTCAGTGTCTTCTTAAACATCAAGCTCAGTGTTGCCTGTGTTTATAGACATAACATGTATTTACACATTTTGCACAAGGTCCTTTCTATCTCAAGGGCCCCCTGCTGCTGCGACATGGATTTTCCTTTTCCCAAAATGATGATATAAACTATCACTAATGCTGCCATAGTTTGTTTCAATGATCCAAATTATTCATCTTTTGCTGTTGCAGGTTCAGACGCTGTCGTCTGCCCCTGCCTCTAACTCAAACCCAGCCTCTCGACAGAGAGTTAGGAAGAGGACCAAAGTCCTGTCTATAGCTCGCAAGTGAGTCTAAAGAGACTATTTGAAGATAACTACATATTTTGTATTCTTTTTGCTATTTTTAATTTTGAAATTGCAGCTTTTGTATCAAACATGGCTTGTAGACAAATGTGTTATTTATATGTGCATGTCGTGATAGGATCCTGCGTATCCGGAGGGAGCCCCCCACCCTTCAGCCCAAGGAGCCCCCTCCCTGTCTGCTGGAGGCCGACCTGACTGAGTTTGATGTGCAGAACTCCCATCTCCCCTCTGAGGTGCTGTACATGTTGAAAAATGTCAGGTATGTAAAAACGAGCTGCTCCTCATGAGAAGGAATTAAGTCCTTATGCAGTCCTACAGTGACATATGGAACTAATGAATGATCATTGTATTAGAATGTGAACAATACAACTGCAACCAATGAAAGGAAAGTTTGGGTACATTTTATGGAAATCCTCTCCTGTTGCAGTTGGACAAAGCATCAGTTTAAAGACAAAGATCTGGAGCTTCATAAAATTGTGATGGATAAAATTCCCCTTTTCATTTTAAATATAAAATATATTTTATAGACCAGATGTTTGAATTTATAAGTTGCGAGCTGTTATGATTTTCAACATCAAACAAGTATGACTGTGGAAGAACAGTTACTATCAAGAGGATGGCAGTTCCTATAGCAACCATCTGTTAAAGAAGTGAGGGATGTTACTCAACCATTAATTTCCATTGGACACGTAAATAAAGAAAAAACATAAATTCATCAAAATTATAATTTCTAATAGATATGCCACATAAAGAGACCACCTGTCTCACTATCAATAGTTTTCATTGTTAATGGTGGAGCCTGAGTTTGCCCATGCAGGATCGAATCACAGCACATGACGGTGTATTGCTGCACAGTCCAGGAAAACAACCACCAAACCACAGCTTTATCCAACACATCACATAATGTGGAAACCCATTTGGCAACACTGTTAGTTTAAATCTGTAGACTTCTGTATTAAAACTACAATATACAATCAAATCTTTAAACAGATAAAATCTTTCTGATTAGAGTACTAGCTACTCATGGTGTTTTTGCTCCGGTCAATACATATGTGCTTTTGAAAGGAACTCCTCAGACGTGTAATATTAAAATTAGATTGAGCGTATCGTCAATTTAGGCTGATGACAAAGTCAAGCTCAGCCACAATCCGGCATGTTAGCTGACAACAGATCTCTATACCAGCCCTAATCAGCTGATGGCTCAGCTGATCCCCTCCCATTATTCAATTGGCAATGCTCTTATTGTGCCTTGTTTTTTAGCTGCCTACTTGATGTCTGCACCGTTGGGTCTGCCTTCCCCTGCCTTCCATTAAGGCTCCTTAAGTGGGGCATAAGTACCTTATGCATATGCATGAGGGCAGGGAGGTCTCAGAGCAGAGCTATATCACCAAATATAACTTATTGCAGTTATTAAAATCAAATACATTTGGATAAAAGTGGTTCTGACTGAACTTGCCTTTACCACCAGTAACTACAGGTGTTGTCAAACTAAGGTTAATGAGAGCAACAGATCAGAATGTAAGGACAGATCTCTGTCAAGATTCAGGTGGACAGAGTCACAACCGCAGACACGATGACTGAATAGACCTTCATTTCTTTTATTTTACTGTGGGAATTCCTTAACTTGCACTGTTATGTGTGGTGTGAAATGTTGGTAATTGTCATACGTAGTAATAAAATAGCATATGTCTTGTCACTAGGGTGCTGGGCCACTTTGAGAAGCCTCTCTTTCTGGAGCTGTGTCGTCACATGGTGCTGATTCAGCTGCACCAGGGTGAGGGACTCTTCCGTCCAGGTGACACCGATGATAGTATTTACGTGGTTCAAGATGGCCGCCTGGAGCTGTGCATCCATGAGAGTGTAAGAGCAAAATGCTGAAACGCCTACAGCATCACAAAGTCACTAAGACGTTCAGTCTCCGTGATGGATTGTCACCCATTTGCTCTCTGCTTTGTGTATATTGATGATCAGTGTGTGTGGGAAATCTAACCTGTGTTCTGGTTCTTGTGCTGTCATATTAAAATGTGATTGTTTCCTTACTGCAGGATGGCACAGATGCTGTGGTGAAGGAAGTTTTACCAGGAGACAGTGTTCACAGTTTGCTCAGTATCCTAGACATTATCACTGTACGTCTGATGTTGCTCATCACCCTTTGTCTCCTTCTGTTGTACATTCTGTAAAATGTTTGTATTTTATCTTCATCATCTCTGCTGTTTGCTTTATCCTCAACATGACATTTTCTAGAATAGCTAAATTCACTTTCTGTGGAGGTTTTTGCTGCAGTAGCATCCTGTTTTCTACACAAAGTGTATTTTCTATATTTCAGGGCTACCCAGCACCTTACAAGACAGTGTCAGCACGTGCTGCAGCTCCCTCCACTGTCCTGCGTCTTCCAGCTGCAGCCTTCCAGTCAGTCTTCGACAAATATCCCGAAACTCTTGTTCGAGTCATTCAGGTAAAGTCTCCACTGACAGATATAGACATTGCAAGTGCCTTCTCCATCAGTGTGCAACATTCAACAGCATACCTTTCAGCCTATGTGTCCATTTACTCCTGTGTTTTTTCTTTCTTTCTATCATTATTTTTATCAGTGGTAAACTCCGTCTTATCCTGTTTCCCTCTCATAGATAATCATGGTGCGTCTTCAGAGAGTGACCTTTCTTGCCTTACACAACTACCTTGGCCTGACCACTGAGCTTTTCAATACGGTACTTGTACTTTTCTTTTTTTTCCTCATCTTACTGTGTGTGGTCTGACATCAAAATATTTTACATCAGATGACTTCACTTTTCTCTTGTGTTACTATTGTTGTCAACCCCACACACATCTACTTCATTCTCTACCCTGGTTTGCAACAATGTCTCGAAAGTAAGAGAAATAGTAGTAACTCAGCAGGGCCATTTCAATATTTATAACATCCTGTGGATGAGGAGGTAGATAGGGTTGTCTGCTAACAAGAAGGTCGGTAGTTTGATCCCTGGCATGGAGGGACAGAGAAAGCACTGTGTATCAAAGCACTGCATGAATTTGTGTTATGTTATAATATTTCTATAAAGTTATATATAATAATGATGGAGACTTGTGATTTTCAACCTGGGGGCTTGACCTCACTGTGAGTCACAAGATAATTTCTGGGGCTCACCAGATGGTTGTACAGAATAAAATAATGTACTTTATTCAAAATAAAATTACATATTTTAGACAAGGACTCTTTTACCCTAACCCTAAATCAGGAGGTCCAGAGTCAGGTCGGAGAAAACCGTCAAAGTTGAACACAATTTAATCATGAGGTTAAGAATTATGCCGTGGAAGACTATGATACAGAGAAACATCTGATCAGTCAGGACTGGTGCAGCACCACCAGCGACCCAACCTGTCTATCAAAGCAACACAGTGAGTGACGGGGCAAAAAAGAACTGTCAATGTAAATAAAGCATTATTTCTTAATGTAACTAAAAATATAAGGAAATGTGTGTAGGGACACCTGTTTATGATTGCAGTTCTAAAATGGTGGGTTGTGACTCAAAAAGGTTCAAAACCTCTGATGCAGACTATTATTATGAAATCTAATAAACCCATCAGTTCACAGGGGGAGCACATTCTGGCTGACCTCCTCCCACCATGTCCCTCTTACCATAATCTATATTTAGTAAGAGAAGCCTGCCAATTGAATAGAATTTTTCAATTACTAATGCTCATTGCGTGTGTTACAGGAGAGTCAAGCTATCTCCCTTGTGTCAGTGGCGCATGTTCTGGGTGAGACTCATTCACAGAGAGGCCTTCGCAGGCAGCCTTCGCACTCTGATAACCTGGGCACCGAAAAATCGGATTCAGGTTGGAAACAACAGCATTTTTTCAACATTTTCCCCATCAGGTCACAGTAATTTGTGTTATGATTGTCTAAAGTTCTGCTCTACTTTCTTGATACACACTACAACAGAAACAACCAACTCCTCTGATATCTCCTCATCAAAATACAAGAAATCTCGTTCCCTCTCTACCCCAGTGGCTGTTACAGGTAGTGTATACACACCAAGTGCCATTTCTTATAAATAGATACACACATATAGTATATCATTTTATTTTAAGCCTTTTTTTATGTCTTGATAGGTCATATATATATGTATATATTGCACCCAGAGGCAAATTTGTCGTCAGACGATAGCCAATGGCCATAGAGATTCTGTAATATATAATGATTCATTGAATTATGTCAACTCTGCATGTAATTCGCTTCAAACTGTGTGAAATGTTTAAAATGGAAATATTACACATGTTAATAGTAAATAAACATGGAAATAAAGTAGACACTTGACAATGAGCTGAGGTTAATGTCACTGCTGCTGCACTGAAAACTATCACCAAGACAAGTATCAGCAGTTTATTAAACAGTAACAGATGCTGCATCCTCTTCGACACATCTGCATAGTTACATGCTTGCCCATCTAGCCATTTTAATTGGCGTAGTGTCAGTGAGGGTTGTTGCTGATACTAAACCTTTTTTTTTTCCTGCAGGTGAAATGTCATTTGCCCTCAACAGAGTTTATGAGCAGGACAGAGCTGCCAAAGAGGAGACAGCGCCTCACAGTCCTGTGAAGGTCTCTGGAGAAGAATCCTCTTTCCTACATCTTTAGAAGTTTGCTAGTTTTAATCCTGATAGGTTGCATGGCAGGGACTTAAGGTCAGGTTTACTGAATATGTCAGTTCAGACAACAGTTTTTTCCCTTATGGAATTAGAAGCCACACTTCCCAGTACTTGGGATGCACAGTAATTCTTTACACAAAGGATATGAAGCTCAATCTAAGATTGTAGGATAGTGCATGTCACTCTCTTTTTAATGCATTTATAAATTAACATGGTACACAGTAGGGTCACTTAGAATGAGTGTCCATTTGTGGTTTAATGTCCATTATATTAACCATTATATTTTTGTCTCTCTGTCTGCTCAGTCTATTCTGAAGAAGAGTGTCACAATGCAGCACACTCCGTCAGCTGTTTACCAATATAGTGATGCTGGAGCAGGAAATGTCCACCAGAATAAAGTCAATGCCATTTTCCAAGCTGCCAAAAAGGACCTGCTGCAGGTCATCCAAATACAGGTAGTTTACAATACAAAGAACATGTACTGTGTCAAATGTCAACTGAAACCAAATCTAATATCAAGGCAAAAACTTGGAAGTTGAGCAGGTATTTGACCATATTAAGGTGATTTGCAAACAGTGCTGTAATTATATTGGTAATAATGACTCCTCTGTTGTCATTTGATGTCATCAGGACCACAATCTGCTGGAGGGGAGGGTGAATCTTCGCCAGGTTAAAGCTGGCACAGTTGTGGCCCGTCAGGGAGACCAGGTCAGTGTTTTGGACCAACACTCACAGAAACTTGCTCTTTGTAGAGGCAACAGGTTATGAAAGCACTAAACAAGGGCCACCATTTCCACTGCAGGACACACGTACATTAAAATCCCAAAATGTATTAACAACAAATGATCAAATTGCAAGTATCAAATATTTACTTGCTAAATCATGTTTTGTTCTCATAGAGTCATATAAGGTGTTTGCCTGGGTAGAGAAAAAAAGGATTGAATAATAAGTAATAATAATAAAAAGTGCTGTGAAAGTCAAGAATCCTAATCATGTCAAATGTTGCTGAGCCTCTGAAACCTTTGAGAACCACCACCTTACGGGTGTTTGTGTGCCCCAGTGATCTTTGAAACTATGTTGTCAGGTGCGGGTGACATTTGTGTGAGATGTGCATCCTCGCAAACAACTAAACAAAAAACATCTAAGAACATTGCTCCATAGGGCCACTACTGATCAGAAACACCACATGGTATCTTTAATTTACTGAAAGCTCTCCACTCACTCTGCTCTTCCAAGTATGCAGCAGGACCTACAGCTCCTCAGGTAATGTACAAACATGAGGGCTTCACTCTAGAGCCTGTGTTTGGTTTGGGCTGAGCAACTGCTGAAACACGGATTCAAACAGTTCAGCATGGTGGATTCTATAGAAGAAGACCTGCTTATGATGTAGATATGAAGACATGGTGATTCTTAACTTCCGGTTACTTTAAATGTCAGTAATCGCAAAGACGCTATAACAATATAGAGCTCAGGGTGACTGAAGAGTTGGTGATAATTCACTGTGGTTTTTTTATCTACAACAGAGCACGTACATTACACATAGTTCTTTTGTAGATCATTAACATGCAAATATTTATCAGTGTAGCTTTTATGTTTAACAAAGATAAGAGAAACCAAGTGGTGTGTGGTAATTCTGCCCCGATAAAGTTGGTTGGCTGAGAAAGAGGGAGGTGAAGAAAGGGCCTCTTGTTTCGAGAGAGAACTGATGAACAGGAGCAGTTGATTGGTCTCAAGTGCAACGTAAACTGAAGAGAGGCAGAAGTGAACACTATTAACTATACTATTTATTTATTGTATCAAATTTAGCTTATTAATTTCTGTGGACTCCTGAAAACACCATGTTTCATTTTGAATTAATAGTAACAGTTCAACAGTTTCAGTTTAAGTGTTTAAATGTTAACATTTGTATCTGTCGACAGGATGTGAGTGTGGCGTTTGTCATCTCAGGTTTGCTCCACGTTTACCAGCGTATGATTGACCGCAAGGAGGACACCCTGTTGTTTGTCACCCACCCGGGTGAGATGGTGGGTCACCTGGCTGTTCTGACAGGCGAGCCCCTCATCTTCACTGTCCGAGCTAACAGAGACTGCACCTTCCTCTCCATATCCAAGGCTCACTTCTACGAGTAGGATCAGGCTCACGCACAAAACATTCAGTTACTTGTTTTTTGCGTTTTTGCTGTCCAGACACGTTTGTAAGCTACAGACGTGTGTGTTTTTCTTGTGTTTGCAGGATGATGCGCGAGGAGCCCAGGGTGGTGTTGAACGTAGCTCACACTGTGGTGAAGAGGGTGTCCCCATTTGTCAGACAGATTGACTTCGCCCTGGACTGGATGGCTTTGGAGGCCGGCCGTGCTGTCTACAGGTATCTTCTCTATGGAACCAAAGATGAAAACAATTTTTTTTCCCTTTCCTTGGTGAAAGTGTTTAATGTCCACTATTTTGTTGTGTTTTTGGTGACACGACAACAAAAAAGAAACATTGGTTGTGACAGCAGCAGGCATAGTAGTGTTGGAAGTGGCCATTTCTTGATTGCCTTATTGTTTTTAGGCAAGGAGACAAATCAGACAGCACCTTCATCGTCCTCAGTGGCCGACTGCGCTCTGTTATTGCAAAGGATGATGGAAAGAAGGAGCTGGCTGGAGAGTATGGTCGCGGTGACTTAATAGGTGTGGTGAGTCATCAGAAACTGCCATACGTGTAGCATTCTGTGCTGGATTTGAATTGTGATTTTATCAACTGCAAAAACCATAAGGTTAGTGTGAAGAGAACATTTCTTAGATTTAAATCAATAAAGACACACTTCCAGGAGAAACACTACAATACACTAGACTACAAATTGCAGTACAACTCTTTTTGTGTGGATTGATCAGGTTGAGGCCCTGACACACATGAACCGAGCCACCACAGTCCACGCTGTCAGAGACTCCGAGCTGGCCAAACTTCCTGAAGGAGCTCTGAACTCCATCAAGAGGAGGTATCCTCAAGTTGTCACCAGGCTGATCCACCTGCTGGGACAGAAGATCCTGGGCAACATGCAGCAAGTCAATGGACCCCTGGCTGGTACATATGTTCTCTTTTTGTTAGTGTATGTCAGGGTGGAACTGGATTCATCTGCTTTACAAACAATAGGTACATTAATTGTTATCATGCAAACTTTGAACTGCCATCTGACTTACAACATCTAGCACTCAGTTTGGCTAAAACACTCCAAAAAGTAGTTAAATGTATGGTTGTTAGCATATTATATTGTATATGTGTCTGTAATATCCATTAAGAGAAACAAACTTCTCCCTGCAGCTCGTAGTCTGGCTCTCAACACCCCGACCAGTAAGTGGGATGCAGGGAATCCAGCTTCCAACCTGTCCACTGTGGCCATCCTGCCTGTGTCTGAGGAGGTTCCTCTCACCTCCTTCACTCTGGAGCTGCAGCATGCGCTCAGTGGCATCGGTACACACACACACTCACATTACATTCACACACAAAAAAACAAGACAAACAATTGCAATACACAAATACAAATGATACAAATTGAAATACTAATGTAAACTTAGGCCTCTCAATTCCATATCTCATACAAATATTTTATAATGATTTATTATTGACCCTCATACAAACTCTCTCTTAAACATCCACACACGTACCTTGAGCCAGAAACAGATTTCTATTTCAAACACCATTTTGAATAGTTCTTTATTCAAATTGGAGGTAACATAAAAAATAAATAGATAGTTGAATCGCTATTATTGAAATTACATATTGTCTTAATATAAACCGTGGATCAGAGATGTGCATCCTCTGATGGTTTTGCTCTTATTTTGGTTCATCCTCTGCTGCACATTGCCAGTCATTGATTTTCTATGTTCCTTTCATCAATCATTTTTCTTGTTACAGCATTGTGCATGAGGCCTAAGATGTAACAAACACTAAATTATTTTGATTGCTGAATTTTGGACCAAAAGGGCCAAAAGAACGGTGGCTAAAGACTGAGATAAAAACTCACAGAGATAAAGATCATGTACAGCAGTGAAGACCTGCACTACTTACTGACTACACCTACTTTATATAAAATACATGTCCACTTGTTGAAGATCAGGAGAACCAGAACCATTCTACTTCACTTTATTCAAAGCAGTTTTATAGTTCTTTTTTTAAAAAAACTACCTATATGTATGTTTCTGATTTCTGAAGGTCCCACTCAACTCCTGACCAGTGACATCATCAAACAGCGACTCGGCTCTGCTGCTCTGGACAGGTAGACATTTGTAAATAGTAATAAATAATAGTAATGCCAGTTGAGACTGAGTTCAGATTTTTTGAATTCTGATGAGATATGACTAGTTATGTTGTCTGATTGTTTCTTTACGACACAAGCAGTGTTGCTGCATTGTTACAGTTTAATTCTCAAAGACAAAAAGATATGAGATTCAGGGATGTCATTTTGCTTTAACAGTTGACATGTTGCTGACATTTGTACATCTTCCCTTTAGTGTCCACGAGTACCGTCTGTCCAGTTGGCTTGGGCAGCAGGAAGACATCCATCGTATAGTCCTCTACCAGTCTGACTCTGGCCTCACGCCTTGGACCCAGCGCTGCATCCGCCAGGCTGACTGCATCATCATTGTGGGACTGGGTGAGCAGGAGCCCACTGTAGGCGAGGTCAGTGAAAACCTGAGCGGCTGCTCAGCTCTGCCTTCTTGACACACATAACACGAAAAAAAAATTTATAGACTCCATGACTCCGATTTTTTTATTATAATAAGATTGAAAGAATAGTTTCTACCCCCTGCTACGGATCCGCAACAAAATTTAATGAGTGTCTCTTGTCATGTCTCTTATCGTTTGCAAAAGATACTGCCTTCACTTATTCATGATGTGACTTATATGATGTCACATATGATAGGCAATCATTTTCTGATTAATATTCTTTAGCTTGTCTCTCTATTATCTGCAGGGATATCTTGGAGAAAGAGGAACATCTTTCTGTTGAACTTTACAATTGACCCATGATCTCCAAAATAAAATAAATTGGAGA